AAAAAATCCTTAGTTAATTAATTTTCATTATAGACAGCTTTATAAAAGTATAAAAGCTCTCATAAAGTATTTTTCTGAGGTCTGTCTTATCAGGTAAATTACTGTACACAGTGTATTCATTAATTTTCATTTTCATGTAGTGGCTCTATGCCTTCATAAAGGACGTACTTTTCCTTTGTTTAAGGGTATTTGGGCAGTTTATTCTCTGTTATATTCTGTACAAGTAAATACTGTACAAGTACAGTAAAGTATTTTCTGAGGAAATACTCGTACTTATTTTTTTTAACCCCATTCCCGATAACTCGGCATTTTCACAAACTCGGCCACCCTTCGGTCCACATTAGGTCGAGTTTTCGAGGTTCTACTGTATTGTCTACATTTCAATGTCATATTCATTGTAATTTTTGATGATAACTTTTTAGGCTCATTTTAATTAGAGACAATATATCCCAAATAAAGTTTTACAGTATTTTAATTATAATCACACTGTATTTTCAAAAGAGCAGATGTTCAGAGTTTTCTATAGAAAGAACTGATGGACATACTGCAATCAAATTTGAGATACTATAGTGCTGAGCATACAGGCTTGATTTTTGTAAAAAATTTTACTTTGAAATTTAGCCGTCAATGGAATCTGGTGTTGCTCTCTCCTTAATGTGCATATTATATACATTTTCTAATAAATTTTGAGTATAAAAGTAGTCACAAAACACTCTTCAGAATATTTTGGCAGGTGCATGGTCACTGTTCATTTTGCATGATCATGCATTTCTTGTTAAACCCTTCTATCAACAAGAATGCCAGCTCAGTGTTTAAAAGATTTACAAAAAGGTCCTCTAACTTTTGAGAATCTCTGGAAACTGAAGAAAAGCAAACAGTTTTTAAAGCATGGAGATGGAGGAGCACAGTCTTATCTTTAATTTAATTGTCAATCCCATATTCCACATCTGTAATTGAAATAAAATTATTGCATTTTGTTTCATACGTCCGAAAATTTGATAGAAAATATGCACATTAAAGAGAAAGTTAGCATCAAATTTCATTCTACTGTCTAAATTTTGAAGTAAAATTTTTTCCCAAAAATCAAAACNAATTTGCCACAGCTTACATTCTAGACATTATTCAAATTACAGATCTGCATAAAAGGAATTCTTAAATTATTTAAACTGTTACAAAATATTGTACAAGTTTAAGTAATTAAATTAAATAAGTCTACAGAGATTTAAATTAAATAATTTCCAAAACTACATTCTACTGTCTAAATTTTGAAGTAAAATTTTTTCCCAAAAATCAAAACCACATACTCAGGACATTATGTATACCATATTTGATTGACATTTGTCCAATAGTTCTTTCTGCAGAGAGCTCTAAACATCTACTCTTTAGATAAAGAATCTTCAAATACCGAATTAATATAAAAATAACCACTTAACAAAACCAATAAGTCTTCGTTCATATTTATTTTAAAGACGAATCGCTGCTTGAGAAAGGTCGTAGGGAAGGAACCGAAAACGTTTGCAGTTCATTTTACAATTATATAATACCGGTTATTGGTTTTGTTAAGTGGTTATTTTTACATCTACTCTTTAATTGTGATCATCCTAAATATGTCATTTAAGAGTATAAATTGAAAACTTTCAGATAATCTTCAACAAAAAACAGTAAAGATATTTGTATTTATTTGTGTACAAAGCATTGTATTTTTAGTTTTTATATGTTTTTGAAAATTTTATTAGTATTTTCATAATACAATATCCAGTAGTAATGTCAAAATATTTTTTTATACTTTCCAGATATATTTGGCTCAAAATACTGATATATTTATACATAGCACTATGGACTCATACTTATTTACTTGTATAATGGTTATTATAGTATGTAACTTAAGAAAATATTTATTGTTAATTATTATAGAAAATTATTTATAATCCTCTTCTTCAAAATACTTTTCCCGTAAGAAATTAAGTTATATTCAAGTTTTTAAAATAATTCATCNTGGTGTGCCACTGTGCTGTGTATCAGTGTTTGTTTTGGTACTGATTTGTCTGTAGAAAAGTTTTTCGTTGTTTGTGAATAATTTATTTTGTTGTTTTTGTAGTGTACATGTTTTGTACCATTTGAGTCTACGTGCTTTGGCTGCGAGTTTTTGTTTTATGTATGGATGTATTCTGTAATGTGTGTGTTTTGACGTTCATGTTTTGTGTGTGTTTTGATTTTCTTGAAAATGTTTTTGAGTTGTTTCTTTAATTTGGGTGTTATGTTGTTTTTAGTGTATTGTGTCAGCCTGCCTAATTGCTGTCTAATGTCATTTATTTGTGTTTCTATTCTTCTCTGCCAGGCAGACTTGTGATAGGATTGTGTTTTGTGTGTGTTTGTCTGTGATTGTATTTTCAGTCCATGGTGTGTCACTACTGTGACTGCCCCAACATAAACTAATGTATGAATGTCTGAGAGTGTAGAAATTAAATGGATGTAGTGTGGTAATAAGTGTGTTTACATAATTTAGTGTTTTTCCTACTACCTTTGATGTGTTCATTTTCGGTATTCGTGGTCTTTGTGTGGGATCTGTGCCTGTATATTTAGTGAGTGTTTCCTGAAATATAAGAGAAAGTGTATTAACTAAATCTATATCTATGTTATCAGTGATGGATGAGGAAGTGTCTGTAGTATCATTAATGGTAGTTGTTGTATGTGTACTGTTATCAATGCTTGTTGCTGGATTATCCTGACAGGTTACATGATCTTCATTAATGTTAAGTGTTTCTGTCTGTTGATGTATTTGATCAGTAACCTGTTGTTTGATAAGTTCAAGTGTTGGTTGTGGGATAAGGTTGTTGTGTATAATTGTTCTCTTTTGATCAACAACCCTTTGTTTGGTAACAGTGAGGTGAGGATATTGTTGTGTGAATCTATGGTGTAGTTGTTGTCTGTATGCTGTCATGTTTGTTTCAAGTTTTGTGATTGTGTAGTAAGTACGAATGATAAACTCATTCATTTCTGATGTCCATTTCATCCATTGGTGTGGTTTTCCAGCCTTTGTGGTCGGTGGATGCATTGCCATAGAAACACCAAGGCTAGGTTGATTCCTCACATCTGTTGAGGGCATTGCAGTAGCCATGCTTGGGGTGGCGCTGCTTTTGCCATCGGTAACCAAGGGAGACTGCGGCCTATTTTTCGAACGTGAGTCTCTGCCTAACCCACGAATGCGGACCTTGTTAACCCGGGTGACGTCCGAACTGGTATCACACTTTGATCTGGTTACTATCATGATAAATATCTCCACGGAATGTGGGTGTGTGGTCACTCTTAGCTTCATTTCTCCCCATAGACCTTACTGGCATGGGTGTCACTACCAGGAGCTTGTGCTCCAGCCTGCATTGCCTTAGGGACCAGTAAAATTACTGGGCTCTACCACCACAACCAGGTGATGACCATATATTTTATGTAATATTAATAGTCATATTAATGGCAGATGCAATTGAAGGAAATCATTTCAAAGTCTAGCAAAAATACATTTTGAACAGATTGCTGTATGAGTAAATATCTAAACCAGTGCTTTTTAACTGGGGTGCACAACAATGTTTCAGGGATGCCACTAAATATAGGTATCTCTCGTATAACATGGTAGTTATGTTCAGAAAAAGTGCTGTGTTATACGAATCTGTGCTATATGAAACAAAGGTCTAATGCAAAACATAGGATTACATTCCAGATGTCAGCAAAAGCATATTATTCTTTTTCATTACTAAAAGAAACATGTTTATTAAAGCAATTGATAAATTATTTCCTATCAATAATTAATTAACAATCACAATTAAAAGTACTGTATTACATATTAATATTAATTTTAGTTAAACCAGGACATTTTCTTTTTACAAAGTAACATCATCTCAGCTTTTTTGTTGATCTTGATCAGAAGTATTGGCAACATTTTCATATTTTTTTATTTTTATTACAAAAAACTTTTATGGATGACAAAATAAAAATATATTATTAATCAAAAATTTGTTCTAGATGTTTGCATTTGTTTAGTCGAGTACCAAGAAACTTTTCCAAAATCTGTGTTCAAATACCAAATAGTGATGAATGAAGTACAGCAGTACAGAGGTACTGCTGTACTTCATTCATCATTCTTACAAATGAAGTAATCATTAAGTAATATCTGTGATTAAAAAAGTTTAACAACACTAGAAAAGTTTATTTAAATATTTTTAGGTAAATATGAAGATTAATTTATAAAAAGAAAATACAGTGACAGTCTTAAAGGCTAAAGTCTGAAAGCAACAACAATGACACCTGGTTGATAGGAAAGCTAGTGCAAATTTTTTCTTCCTTGTCCTATCAATTTTCATTAAAGTAAACCTGACGAAAAGCACAAAATTTAAAAATTTCAATATTCTAAAATCTGTGGGCAACTTTGAGATGACACATTTCTTTTTATTCATGTAAACACACATCAACTAACAAAGTTTACACTTAAAAATTGTAAAATTTTGTATGGAGGATTTCCAAAACTGTGTTAGAGCAAAACCATGTTACAGAAGTATCATGTTGTATAGTGCTGATAAGTGCCAATACCTGTATAGTGCTGATAAATGCCATAACACTTCTTATACATTTGCTAGAAGTATATAAAGCACAACTCTAGATTGATAAAGTAATGCAAGAATAAAGTTACCAAGTTGGGGGTCACTATTAGAAAAATATTAAAATACACTAACCTACACATTAACTGTAAATAATAAAGAAGCTGTAAGAAAAACCTTTCATTGTCTGGAAGAATAAGATAGACTTGTAAGACATGGAAGAGTAAGAATTGTGACTCTTCACAAGTGAAATTGATATAATTGAACATAATTGAAATTGTAAATTAGAAAAGATTATCAAGTTCTTTAATAAAATAAAAGTACTATATTAAATGTTACATATATATTTAATAATTAAATTTTTCTGAATATCATTAAATGTTTACCTTGTCTTTTCTCATTAGGAAAACAATATCTTCAGGTCCAATAAATCTTGAATTGCGTATATTTGCTATTTCAGCTGACTGAAGAAGCTGTAAAATTAAAAAGTCTTTATCAGTAAGTCTATTTAATCATAAAAAGTTAATAAACAATCATAAAAGAAAAATATATTATAAATATAATAAATTTATGTAATCCTATTCATTAGATCAAGTACTCTTTCATTACAAAAATAAATATATTAAAAGCAGTCTAAAGATTAAGGAGTGTAATCAAAAAGAAAATTCTTGTTTTAAAATATTATTAGTAAAAATCATAACTTTTTGTCCCTAGTGAAAAAAAAATATATAAGTTTAACTTTATATTATGCTTACAAGTGATAAACATTAAAAAAAAACAGAGAGAGAGAGAGATAGAGAATTTTGTTTTATTAAAAATTAAATTATACTTCAATAAAGTGAATTGTCAGTATTAGTTTTTCCTCTCATAAAATACAAGTATAGAGATTATACAAAATACAAATGAAAACATATATGTTTAATGTTCTTATATTTTCATAAAAGAAGTATTAGATATAAAAATGTTTTTCTTGATAAAAATAGTTTTATGTTTAATTTCATTCTCATATTTTTCATATATCTTTTCTTTCTCTGTGTTTTTCTTATTCTTATTAACATTGGACAGATTTTTGATATAAAAACATAAGTGCCAATTTGCTTTATTTTCATCAAATGATTAAAATAAACAAATACATAAAAAGTAAAAATACTTTTAAAAATAAACAAATATTTAAAAATTTTGAAGATGAAATAAGTAACATGTTTTGGATTTTGGTCAGTATGTACAGAAATAAAGGGGAAGGGCTACTCATAATGGTGATCTCATAGCGATGACTTTTGGAGCCTCCAATAAAGTATAAAAAATATATTATTATATTGAATAAATAAAAAAATGAAAGGTTTTTTAACTAAAAAATGTATAATTGCCATCTTGTGTTATGCATATCCAGCCCTAAAATGATCATGCTCATAATATAAGGCCTAATACAATTTATGCAAACTTAATGTAAGAATAATTAATCACCAAATTTTTGCTAAATTGACATATTTACTCTTATTTGTTTCTAAAATTAAATCTATATGAATCATTTATTAAAAACATAAAACACAATAGTTTCAGTCATATTAATTGAATGATATTTTTATAATTATTGTTAAATAACAGATTTCATAATGGTGCCATAAACTTCATAGCAGACAAAGAAAAAATCACATTTGTATCTATCATATAAAGATATATATCTTTATATGATAGATATAACTTACTTCTCTTTTTTAATAAATTTAGAAAACATCAAATTTTTTGACATTCAATATATATAATTATGATCCATTTTGACACAATTTCATTTAAATGTCACAATAAAAATATAAACTGGATTACAAATTATGTATCAGTTTATCTACATCATTGAACTATATTAAAAAAGTGAAAATACTTCAAAATAAAGATATTCTTTTAAAATTTTTTTAATATTTATTTATCTGCTGAAGTTCTAGTCATTTGTGATTTTGTCGCAAGCAAAGGAAAACTCACAATTTAATTTTGCATTAAAAATATTATAAAAATAAGTTTCTGTTCAAGTCCAAGATTTGCAACTTGTTATACAGTTCAAAAATTCTAGTCATCATCAAATAATTTTAAATTGTAAAACAAACTTTGTAGATGTAAATTTAACATTATATACATAATAAGTTTGGAATAAATAAATAAAAACTACCATTTTTGTTTTATGATTTCTGCTTTCAGTTATCTATTATTTAAAAAATCAACAGTAACTGAGCTGAAAATATGATTATTTTGTCTTTTATAATCTAGTTTCTAGTTTAATAATTAATTTTCAAACTTTAACATTAATTAGTGTATTAAATTAATCAATATTATATATACAGATTATTAATATATGACATAATTAATATAATAATATTAATTAATACACGTAAAATCCTTTACTTCTGTAAATAATGATTTTCAAGATATTGAACAATTATTCTGTACACTTTATGTTAATGTAAAATTCAAACAGAACAAAAATAACAATATTCAATGCTTTATTCTCTGTCCTGTGAACACTACAAGGCTTTTCATTCAAGCCTTTCGGGTTTGGCCATGCCCACAATAGGGCAACTTGATGGTGAGAGATGAGGCTTGACATATTTGAGACAGACTATCCCAAAAAATTCTTTGGAGATCAACTTGTCTGAATTTAAACTGGCACAATCAATTTTGCATTCTCCATATTAACATAATTATTTTCAACATATTTCTTACATTTGTTAATCCTAACTTGTATAGATATGGAATTCACACCATTATAGTGTGTGTTCATTCTAGACTTTGGTGATAAAAAGCAGAATAGGATATATGCCAGCTTTTCCTATTAATTCTACTTATCTTTGTTGTTAACCAGAGTTCATCTTAAAGGCAATAGTTAAATTGAAATATTTATATCAGCTTTTTTAAAATAATCTCAGAATTTTATACTCCAACTAAAATATGAAATGATAAAAGGAAAAACTTCAAAACTACAATTTGTTATAAAAAAAAATTTAATTCTAATAACAAAAAGTATAATTAAAATAATTAATTTTATGATGAGAACAAACTATTTAAAATTTTTTAAGTTTTATAATTTAATTTTGTGTTAACATAAATTTAGTATATTCTAAAACTATTCATGCAAATCAAACAAACTGGAGTGTGAATATCTCGAAATCAACAAGGAAAAAATTTTTGATTACTAGTAAATTTTTAAACTAAAATGTGATCATTTTTAAAATATTTCTATATTTTTTTATTATTCACATTTATTCTGAATATGGCACATCATACAATAGAATAGATTGGAAAGTTATCAACTCATCAGACAATGCAGAAAATCTATACAGAAAATTCTTCATATACAGTAGAACCTCGAAAACTCGTCCCTCGATAACTTAGCACTCCGGATAACTGGTCCACACCTTGGCAGGGCGAAAAAATCCTTAGTTAATTAATTTTCATTATAGACAGCTTTATAAAAGTATAAAAGCTCTCATAAAGTATTTTTCTGAGGTCTGTCTTATCAGGTAAATTACTGTACACAGTGTATTCATTAATTTTCATTTTCATGTAGTAAAGGCTCTATGCCTTCATAAAGGACGTACTTTTCCTTTGTTTAAGGGTATTTGGGCAGTTTATTCTCTGTTATATTCTGTACAAGTAAATACTGTACAAGTACAGTACAGTATTTTCTGAGGAAATACTCGTACTTATTTTTTTTAACCCCATTCCCGATAACTCGGCATTTTCACAAACTCGGCCACCCTTCGGTCCACATTAGGTCGAGTTTTCGAGGTTCTACTGTATTGTCTACATTTCAATGTCATATTCATTGTAATTTTTGATGATAACTTTTTAGGCTCATTTTAATTAGAGACAATATATCCCAAATAAAGTTTTACAGTATTTTAATTATAATCACACTGTATTTTCAAAAGAGCAGATGTTCAGAGTTTTCTATAGAAAGAACTGATGGACATACTGCAATCAAATTTGAGATACTATAGTGCTGAGCATACAGGCTTGATTTTTGTAAAAAATTTTACTTTGAAATTTAGCCGTCAATGAAATCTGGTGTTGCTCTCTCCTTAATGTGCATATTATATACATTTTCTAATAAATTTTGAGTATAAAAGTAGTCACAAAACACTCTTCAGAATATTTTGGCAGGTGCATGGTCACTGTTCATTTTGCATGATCATGCATTTCTTGTTAAACCCTTCTATCAACAAGAATGCCAGCTCAGTGTTTAAAAGATTTACAAAAAGGTCCTCTAACTTTTGAGAATCTCTGGAAACTGAAGAAAAGCAAACAGTTTTTAAAGCATGGAGATGGAGGAGCACAGTCTTATCTTTAATTTAATTGTCAATCCCATATTCCACATCTGTAATTGAAATAAAATTATTGCATTTTGTTTCATACGTCCGAAAATTTGATAGAAAATATGCACATTAAAGAGAAAGTTAGCATCAAATTTCATTCTACTGTCTAAATTTTGAAGTAAAATTTTTTCCCAAAAATCAAAACCACATACTCAGGACATTATGTATACCATATTTGATTGACATTTGTCCAATAGTTCTTTCTGCAGAGAGCTCTAAACATCTACTCTTTAGATAAAGAATCTTCAAATACCGAATTAATATAAAAATAACCACTTAACAAAACCAATAAGTCTTCGTTCATATTTATTTTAAAGACGAATCGCTGCTTGAGAAAGGTCGTAGGGAAGGAACCGAAAACGTTTGCAGTTCATTTTACAATTATATAATACCGGTTATTGGTTTTGTTAAGTGGTTATTTTTACATCTACTCTTTAATTGTGATCATCCTAAATATGTCATTTAAGAGTATAAATTGAAAACTTTCAGATAATCTTCAACAAAAAACAGTAAAGATATTTGTATTTATTTGTGTACAAAGCATTGTATTTTTAGTTTTTATATGTTTTTGAAAATTTTATTAGTATTTTCATAATACAATATCCAGTAGTAATGTCAAAATATTTTTTTATACTTTCCAGATATATTTGGCTCAAAATACTGATATATTTATACATAGCACTATGGACTCATACTTATTTACTTGTATAATGGTTATTATAGTATGTAACTTAAGAAAATATTTATTGTTAATTATTATAGAATCTTTATTTTTTTATGTCTACATTACAAAAACTATCAATAATATAAATAATAACTAGATGAAATTAACTTGAGAAACTAAATCTTTAATAAATAATTTGCAGTATTTAATTTTTGCACAAATATTTTTGGAAAATTTAATTAAGCATCATCAGAGTCTAACTAACTATATTAACTATAAAGTTCTAGAAAATAAATTCGAAAATTATTCTAATGTTTAGAATTTTATAATTAGTTTAGTTAAAGTGGGCTAATTACATTAGCCAAATATTTATTCATATAAAAATTAAATGCTGTTTAACTGGACAGCAATTTGAAAAAATTGTAGACCTATAATTTCCCACTGTCATCCATCCATCTGTCTTTCCTTAATCTTGAAAATGGAGTTAGAAAGATGAAAGACGAGGCCAGATACAGAAACTTTAGGAGCAGGAGGCCCCAATTAACTATATATGAACTTCTGATACAAACTGGAAATCATGTTATTTAAATTCAAAAATTTCCCCTGAAAGGTGTTAGATAGATGACCAGCATGACTATTATTAAAGGAAGAGTATATGATACAGGGGAAAGCCACTACTAATTTGAAATGAAGAGAATATATTTTGAATTAAATAAATTATAGAAATATAATTAAAAATTGCATCCCAGCAAGATGACAATGTCACAAAAAATAATTGCTCATTACAATTTAGTTTCTCCAGCATTAAAAAATACAAATAAAAATCTTGATATAAATGAAATTTTTTAAAATAATAAATTCTCAAAATATTTAAAATTAAAATCTGTTAATCAAATGAAAAATGTTAAATTATTAAAAATTATATAAAACATAAAAAATGAATATCTTACCGAGTATAATTTTTAAAAGCTACAAAAAATGTAATTAGCTTTTACTCAATAACTGATAAGAATAAATTTAAATACTTTAAATTATATTCCTATATCAATAATAAAAGCTAATTTTTAAAATATCTAATTGATAACAATATAACTGATAGATTTCTAAATGCCATTAGAATTAAATATATTTTTCTATATATAATTACTAAGGATATTTCAATTTAAATATATTAATTTTACTACATAAATATTAACAGTAAAATTTCTTTTAACTCAATGTACCAATGAATTCATTTGTTGATGAACAATTTCTTCAATTAACTGAGCTGATTCTAACAAAGGATATCTGCAATCTCCAAAGCCAAACCTGAAAATGAAAATTCAATCAATAAATTTAACTGACTTAATAATAATAATTAATTATATTTTATATATTACTTTTTTTGATGAAAATATAATTCAAATGAAGATATTTACATAAAAATACTAATTTATATAATTTTTTTTTATTTTTATTTTCTAATCAGTAATAGATGCAAAATATTTTGATATATAATTAAATAACTTAACTAGATAAACATAAAATGACTTGAATATAAATAAAATATCAGCCACTTTAAGCAGCTATTATATTTTTATTTGGTATAAATATAGATATTTAAAGGTAATTTTATCTGATATAACATTTTAATATGCAGAAAATAATTTATAATTTTCAAAATATTTGCCACTTATTAACAGTATCAAATCATCACTGCTATAAAAACACACTAATAATTTGATGCTCATATTGATAATTAACAATCTGTTTTTATAATTAACAATCAGGCATTAATATATAATAAACTATGATTAAAGACATTCTACAAAATTAAAAATAGAGTTAGACAACAAATATGAGAGAAACGTGATATTTTATTATTAAACAAATTGATCTGCAATTATATTTAACTTACTAATTCCAATAAACTGATATTTTACATTAATAATCATATGTATTTTACAATGTATACTGTTATGCTAAATTATTTAATGACAACTTTTTTATTTTTATTAGAAAATCTCTTTAATATTCACTTATATAGACAAACAAGTGATTTATTAGCAAAAATTACAAAATTACGACCTTTCATTAGAATTAACAATGAATTTGCCACAGCTTACATTCTAGACATTATTCAAATTACAGATCTGCATAAAAGGAATTCTTAAATTATTTAAACTGTTACAAAATATTGTACAAGTTTAAGTAATTAAATTAAATAAGTCTACAGAGATTTAAATTAAATAATTTCCAAAACTATTAACTCCAAATATATAAAATTATTTAATTTGACCAATCTTAAACTTTGTGATTTTTATTAAGAAATCAACTAGTAAATAATGAATCAATCAGAATAGGAAAATTTTAATGTCTCAAATTAATAGATCAAATTAAAAATGCAAAATTATTAAACTAAATTAATATTAAACTACTCTGTTAAATCAATGTAACTCTTTAACAACTGCTATACATTAATCTAATGTAATAAAAGTATAGAAAGTTATAGAACATTTTTAGCTAAATCAATCAACTATTTACAGAATATAAAATTAATTCTAAATGATTATTGCTAAGTTCATTTGAAGATACAGTCAAATCTTGTTACAATGAATGTCTGGCTTTTGTTTAAAATGAATTTAAAGTAGTTATATCAGTATGATATATATATAATTGCTTTGGACAATGGCAGATTGTCTAACGATCAAATTATTGTTTTCTCTGTCTAAATCCGCGCATAATACGCATTTTACGCGATTATTTTCATTTAAAAAATCAATTTTCAGCTCTAGAAACAATCCACAATCAGGCATTAAAAATAAAATTAAAAACGGTGGAAGCTTCCCAACCAGTAGGTCGCATTTTAGCGTGCCAGGGATGATATTCCTGAGTAATAATCATGGTCTTCCAGTACATCAAAATCATAATTAAAATTATCTACAGAGATCGGGATATGGAGGAAATGGCAAATTTTTATCATTTTTAATAAGAATTAAAGGTGTTTCATTCACTTAGGAATTGATTATCTTCCATTTAAAAGGTGTAAGAGTAAAAACTTCGGAGAATTTCTTTCTATTACATCAGTCGTTGTGAACGCGTTTATATGCATAATAACGAAGCGTCATTAGTTCAAATTAGAATAGAGCAAACACTATTTTCCAATTTCAGTAGCTTATAACGTTCAAGAATAGGGTAAAAAATATAAATTAAAATGCCAAAGAATATCTTAGGCCAATGTAATAAAGTCTCGTATTTTGTCTTACAAATGGCCGACTCGCTACGTGGACAAACACTTTCCGTTTCTAAAGCGTCGTTCATAATTCTCTTTGCAAAGTTCGATCATTACACGATAATTTCTCAAAGATAATTTAAATAAGATTCAATTATGTAAGAATTTTTTACTTTAATTCTTAAAAGTATAAAGAAAAATCGGTAAATAACATTCGCCCGAAGTATATTTAAACACGTAAAACTTAATTTCATGCTATGTAAACTACAGTATATATGAAACCAAATTTTAGGATTTTTTTTTTAAATGCGCTAAATAATTGTAGATATTTTATTTCCTAACATAAAAATTGATTTAATTACTGCAAAATTCCACAGATGAATATTTAAATTACTTGGCAACGCGGTATTATCAATTGTTTCGAAAAACAGATAAATATCAATTATTTATAATATTTTTTTAATATTCTCTGTAGAAGTGTTAATAGTTAAAATAAGTAAGATGAAAAATAGCTCCAAAAATAAATAAATTGTATGATTTAAAACAAAATTAGAGAGCTAAAACGGAGAAATATGTTTTTGAATGAATTCCGTTAACCATTGGTATATTAAAATAGCAATAAATCAATTATTGGTTCTATTGCAATTACTTATGAATTATTTTTCTCAATATATTAAAATATAATAATTTTATTTAATATTTTTCTGTCCGAAAAATATAAGACACTACTTTATGTTATACCGCAATAATAATAGCAGTTGATAAAATATCATTGTTGTTATATTATATTTATATTTTTTAATAAAAGTATTCGTGCTTAAAAAAATAACATTTTCCACCAAGTACTAAATTATGTAAGTATCTTTTCCCAAAAGAAATTCCAAATACAGTACTAAAGTAGTAAAAAAAATACGAAATAATTACTATATTTAAACAAAATCATATTTTTTCGATAGAAATTATTATTTTTTTTATTGATTTTTTTATTGCAGTGGATTAATGATTTTATTACGATATGAGATAATTATTTAATAAAAAATTGTAGTGTGAGTGTAATTAAGAGAATGTGTTTTCAATGGTAAATTTTACATAATTGTTTTATTAGCAAATTTAAAATAAAAATCTTATAATTTTGTTCTCCTTTATATCTAAAGTTAAAAAGGAAGGAAAATCTATTAAAATTTCGTAAATTTGGCACCTGAACTAGGAATATAAAAAATCCGAAATACATAAATACTATATAATTAGTTGTGTAATTAAATTTTTAATTTATTCCAATAAACGTCTGCAAGTTCTTTAGAATTAAAACAGTAACGATTAGCGTTTTAGTCGTAAAACGATTTTTAAAAATGCAAACGATTGTTTCTTCATAGGAAATACCTTGAGGACAGAGCAAACATTACATAAACTTAAGTGAAAAAATTTAGTTTATCGTTAACTATTTCAAGAATGAAAATAAAGCGTAAAAAGCAAATCAGGTTCTTATCGAAAACAAAAATATACTAGAAGAAATTTACATCGTCGACGCGATATTTGCAGACAATATATAAAACCACAGATAGTTTTTTCCTCCAAAGATTAGTTTTAAATCCACTTAGGGAAAAGACAAATTAGAAATCTTGGCAAACACAACTACTTTTTACTCAACAAGACGACTTTCTTTTAAACTTTCCCCAGAACTTCATCACACAAAAAGGGAAAGTGAAACGGGGGGGGAGACTTTTTGCGTGCAGTCTTGAAGTACACCGCGAAACCCAGTCGTTACTTTATCGTCTCTACACCGTAATTAGCACCACCAATTTCCCAACACTTCACGGCTCAACGATCACCATTTCATCCTCTTTTCACGGCTGGCGGCGTCACACACAGTCTCCTCCACCCCCTCTCTTTCCAAGTTCTTCCCCTTTTTTCCCTCGCTAATGAACGCGAGATAAGTTAACCATCTCTTTCACCGTCCACTCACCGACGAATAATGAGCTCGAATAATTCGAGACAGGTTGTTGTTGTCCTCGTATCGCACGCCACCGTCAAAAACAAGCTTAGAGAAAAGAAAAGGGGGGAGGAGAGGCGAGCAACCAGCCAATTTCGCCCCAGCTCCGTAATGACATAATATACTCCACTCTGGTCTTTTCTGGACCATTTCACAGCCAAAATTGTCCGACCGATAATCTGATTTTTCCCCCCGATTCTCCCCACAGTTCAAAACTTACGGGTAATTTCACCTAGTCTACGGAGGACTAGTCATTGGGCGAAAGCTGGTTTCGGCTCCTTTCCACCCATCATAAGGAAAGCGCGCGATTTTCGTTTTGACAACAATACCACTTTTCGATGCGGGGTTTTAAAAGCTATGGCGACGACCTTCGCTGTCGATTACAGAATGAAGCTGAAGAAACCCATTCAACTAATTTACCATCCTTATCTTCGCTATCCATACCTACCTGTTCTTCCTCGGTTTATCTCCCCCGTGGTCCCCGGTGAACGTTTTACTTTGGTGGATCCATTAAATCGCTCTCAAATGGATACGGGGAACGCCCGTGCGAATTTCTAAACGAAGTTTTCTGGTAATTTAACAAACCCTTATCTTCTGCATCCAGGGTTTGCCTCCCCGCAGATGGACATCGGCGCGTTGGAAGAGTACGCGATTAAGCATCGTCGCCGGACGTATGTATTTTAATTATTCTCCTCCTCCTCCTCCCCCGGAAAATCGCATCTCTATCGGAAAATTACCTGTGAGAGAAAAAAAAATGGCGATCGCCGCGATAACTTTAAACTTCATCGATTTATTTTTAATCGGTCTACCATACCCCCGCTCGGTCTCGCCATCTACCGGGAGTTAAACGAGTTCTGGATGTTTTTACACACGCGCGACACGCATGCTCGCCGAATAAATGGGGCGGGTGGAATAGGGGATTAACGTAACAAAGCGCAGCTCTCTGCGGCCTGTCAAGTGGCATGTGCCTATCAACTCATACTGGCGACACAGGGGGTGGCCGTGTCACAGCAGAATGCACTTGGCATGGTCGTCTCCGGAGTAACATCCATCCTCATTAGGTGGCAGACCCGTAGCCCAATGGGACTGGCTAGAGCCATTCTTCAT